TCAATTACATTTAGAAATTCTGCTCTTCAAAAAATACCATTATGAAAATAGGCCACTAACTGGGAGAAAATATTAGCAACTTATATATCTAACAAAGGACCTGTATGTAGAATACAACTTACGAAGACAAACATTCCAGTAACAAAAGAAATGGGCAAATGATTTAAGAAGACACTTCACAAAAGAACATAAGGGCTGGCCATTAGCTCAGTTGGTTAGAGCACAGCCTTGTAACACCAAGGTTGCAGGTTCAGATCTCTCATTGGCCAGCTGACAAAAATAAAACAAAAAAAATACCAAGTAGCTCCTTTGGCTTTTTTTTTAAAAAAAAAAAAGACAATATAATCATGTCCAATGAGTATATGAAAAGTTGTTCAACATCATTAAAATTAAATTAAAACCTTGATGAGAGAACACAACACACACATCAGAATGGGGAAAATTCGTATGACTTATAATACATAATACTAAGTGTTGGTGAGTGTTTGGAGCATTGCAACTCTCATACATTTCTGGAAGAAATGTGAAATGGTGAAATGGCAGTCACTTTGGAAAAAAGTTTGGACTTTCTTTTTTTTTTAAAAAGATGACTGGTAAGGGGATCTTAACCCTTGGCTTGGTGTTGTCAGCACCACGCTCACCCAGTGAGCGAACCGGCCATCCCTATGTGGGATCCAAACCCGGTGCCTTGGTGTTATCAGCACCGCACTCTCCCGAGTGAGCCACAGGCCGGCCCTTGGACTTTCTTATAAAGTTAAGTACATGACCTATATGACCCAGCTATATAAAATTATGAGGGAGTGGCTCAAGTGATTATGGAGGCCAAGAAGTCGCACTGAAACAGAGTAAGGCTAGGCCTGTCAACCAAACTGACTCCATTTTCCCTGCAGAGGACGTTTTGTTACTTTTCCACTACTCAGTCATGAGACCCCCAGGGCAAATGATTACCCCACCCATGGGCTGCCCTGACAAAACAGACTGAGATAGGGAGGAAACAGATATTGACTGAATTGCAAAACCCTTCCCCCAGGCTTGTTTTACCATAATAATAAAAGTTACAGATTAACCTTAAGACCACTTTAGGAATTCCCACCTGCACACAAAGCATCAAGGTGACTGCTACAATGACCTTCCTGAGGTGACGATGATGAACACTGCTGCCTTCTTGGACCTACTGAGCATGTGCCCATGATGCAGCCGGGAAGAACAGAACGGACCACCTCCAGTGATGCTGGCCTATAGCTTTTAACTCCTTTCCCTATAAAAGACCCTGAATAGCTCCCCTCGGGGGGCTAGCTTTACTGTTGCTACCACCCCTTATTAATAAAGTGTTGCTTGCTTTACTGTTGGGTACATTGTTTATTTCTATGACTTTGGAATCCGAGAGACTAATTTAATCACTGGCAAAAATTGGAAAGCTTTGGGCACCAGAGAAGACTCTAGCTGCAAGAGGCAAGTGGCCACTGGGACTATTTTGCTCCCATGTCTCTGCTGCTGGTTGATCTCTCCTGGAGTCCCTGGCCTAACTTCTGAAAAGGCAATGCTTTGTTCTCTTTACCTTTGTCTGATTTTCTGAGCCCTCTTCACTGTTTGGTTGGATTGTATTCACTACTATGTAGGTGCACCCTGGAGGGCTGCCGGCTATGCTTTGTTTCTGATTTTCCGAGCCCTCTTCTGTTCTGCATAAGTGCACCCTGGAGGGCTCCTGGCTATGCTTTGTTTTTCTGATTTAAATCTAGTCGTTACTTTTCTTCTTTATGCTGAAAACAGTGGGGAGAACAGCTTTCATCAATTACTGTTAATGGAATAGGTTGGGCCCGCCAATTAGGACTAGGCTAAACTGGACTCCACTGCTCCTCTTTTCTCTTTGTTTGTTTGCTGGGTTAGACATTTAGTTGAGTACCAGTAATCTGAATAAGCCTTCCAATCCTTGCATCAACTTTTGGACTTTCAGGTGATTTGTTTAACACAAGAGGGCAAGCCGAGCCTGGCCTGTCGGTAACAGCACGATCTGCCATCTGCAAACTAGAGACACAGGAAAGCCAAAGGTCTAACTTAGTCTGAGTCCATGAAAACCATGGAAGGTAGCTGATGGTGCAACTCCCAGACAAGTCTGAAGGCCCGAAAAGGAGGAGTAGGGGTGGGGGTGGGGTCTTGGAGTTCGAAAGCCTGAGAAGTCAGAGCTCCAATGTCCAAGGGCAGGAGAAGATGGATGTCCCAGCTCAAGAAGAGAGAGTGCCCCACCCTTCCTCCACCTGTTTGTTCTATCAGACCTTCAACTGCTTGGATGATGCCAACACACCTTGTTGAGAACAGTCTTTTCTTCTCAGCTTCCTGATTCAAATGCTAATTTCTCTTCCAGAAACACCCTCACAGACAAAGCTAGGAATCATGTTTTACCAGCTACCTGGGCATTCCTTTGCCGATCCAAGTTGACACATAAAATTAACCATCACATCAAACTCTTTGACAAGTCTCTCATGTTAACTTTACAATGACCATTTATTTAAGTACAATTATTATCTTATTTTTACAGATGACAAAACTGAAGTCTTATTACGTATTTCCCCCAATTTTGCATACCTGTTACATAGCAAAGCTGAGACTCAAACCAAAATCCCTTCTTCAAATGCTTTATCTGTTCCCCTCGATTACAGTGATTTACAGGCTTTCCTAGAAAACATATTAATAACCCTAAGTCTCTTCTTCCTTAATGTTCTGATGAAAGTAATAAGCAAGTGACTTCAAGCTACGTCTAGTTTCTTTTTTTCCTATTGCTCAACAGAAATAGTCTTAAAATTATATTTGGTATCAGCATACCTCCTTTGATTCATTAACTTACTTAGTGAATTTTTCATGATTTCTTGCATTAAGTCTCTTTCCAGTCCCAATTTCTTTCCTTAGAAACCTCTTATGATTTCCCTCATTTTGTACTCACAGAATAAATCTCTTACTCTTTTATATCACATACTGGAAACAAGTGTAACATGGCAGACAAGTTGTACCCTCAATGATCTAACTAAAGAAGAAAGAAATGTAAACTATTATATAATTAATTAATATTCTACAGAAAAAAACTCTTAGGATATGTGCAATTTTCTGTATATATACTGTACTATATCAAAAAAGTTCATTTATGGTTGGACACCTCTGAATATACTGAATCACTGAAAAATGCGCTTTATAAGGGTGAATTTTAGGCTATGAGAATTATATCTCAACAAATGTGTTATTAAATGTATGTAGGAAAATATCTATTTTTTTTAAGTTTATTTTTTAAATGAGGGTTTAGAAAAGGCATTTTCAGACATAAAAATTGAGAGAGTACATTACCAGAAGGTAGGTCTTCACTAAGTAAACGTTAAGCAGAGCTCCTCAAAGTGAGGTCCATCTGCAAGCATTTGCTTCCAGTCCAGATGAGAGAAGCTCAGGAACTCAGAGGAAGCATTTGGAAAATTTTATGGCAATTTGACAGAGTTCTTTTATGTCTATTGAATCCAATAATAAGCATGCGGGGTTTGTATTTTGTAGGTCTTTGGTTGATTCATTTAACTTTTTCTTAGTAATTCATATTACTGTACTTTTAAAAAATGTTAGCCTCTGATGATTAAAAGAAAAAAACAGGTCCTTCACAACAGATAGTTTAAGAAGCACTCTGCTAGAGGATGTACTTCTGGAAGGATGATCCAAGATGCTCAAAAGAATAGAGAGGAAAGAAAATGGTAAATGTTTGGGTAAATAAAACAATAATTGACTTTATAAACATTGGTAATAATGTCTTGTGGGAATCGTTTTTAAAAAGATATTTAATTAAGGTACACTACTGCAAAAATACACTAATTTGGTAGGTGTGAAGGGAACGGGGTTAAAGCATCGCTGTTTTTTTTTTTTTTTTTTTTTTTTTTTTAAAAATCATTTTACTTCTCTTTTCAATGCATGCCTTTAACTTCTTTTGATTGTCTAATTGCTGTGGCTAGGATTCCAGAATTATGTTAAATAGAAATAGTAAAAGCAGTTTCCTGGTCTTTTCCCTGAGCTTGGTGAAAAAAAGCTTTCAGGCATTCAACATTGATTATGATATTAGCTGTTGGCTTTTTCTTTCTTTTTTTTTCTTTTTTTTTTTAAAAAGATGACCGGTAAGGGGATCTTAACCCTTGACTTGGTGTTGTCAGCACCACGCTCACCCAGTGAGCAACCGGCCATCCCTATATGGGATCCGAACCCATGGCCTTGGTGTTATCAGCACCACACTCTCCCGAGTGAGCCACGGGCCGGCCCGTAAGCATCGCTGTTTTTATTTTGTTTTTTTTTTTGGTCCCTCCCATCACTTGCTGAGGAGGGGGAAGGTATTGATTTACTTTAGGCTTCAAACTTTTTAATTTTGTATGTTGTAATTTCTCAAGTAATTATTAAAATAATAGACAAAGATTAATCACCCAGTCAATAGAGGACAAAAAAAAAATGATGAACAGCAATCACTCGAAAACAAGGTAAGAAAGGTGCTGGTCTAAGAGGCATGCACACACATACACTACCATGACAGACACAAACATAAAGCCAGGTTGATTAATGAGACAGGAGGTGTTCAGTTTCCCTTGACGCAGGTTTCAGGACACACCTCTGGGTTTCAAGACATTCTCAAGGTTTCAGACCCCTCTTCTAGGCCCTCTCCTAGAGGAAAGTTATTGTAGCCAGTTAAACCTATCAACTGAGAAAATGAGACCTCAAGGGCCTGGCTTATGCAAACCCAGTGTCTGCGCATGCTCACTGGACACAGGTTATAGAACCCTAGTAGCTAGACATGCTCAGTAAAGTGGAATTTATCCTCGGAATGGCCTTCCACTGTAGGTTCTAGAGAGCACAGAATATTCGTGAATATGTCTGGTGCATGTGATAGGATTTGACCAATGAACATGCTCCAAAAGGGGACCAACTGAGCATGTGCAAGACTAAGCTACATAAGTGAGACCCACCCCCCCCTTAATTGAATATTCATTAGACATGAAACTATAAAAGCTGAATCTCAGGCCTAGGCGTGTTTTGCTGACTCTCTCCAGGGAAGGCTGCGTTTCTCAGAATGTGGTGCGTGTGCTTTATTTTCACATTGAGTTTACTGTTAGCAGGTGGCTGCTGGCTCTCTTGAGCCATCCTGCATTCTGTACTGAACTTTGAGTATATATTTCTTGCTTTTGTTGTTAAACTTGATGTAGGCCCTGCTCGGTCTCTGAAATCTGTACCTCATATTCGTTATGTTAAACCTATTCTTGCTTTCTACTGTGACTCTGCCCTTGAATTCTTAACTGTGGCAGAGTCAAGAACCTGGTAAGAGGATGGTTTGGGTTGAGGCCAACTATTGGGCGCCCCAGACCCTACCTCTGACAAGGTTAGGAAAACTTGAAGGCAGACAGGCATTTTTCTTTATCACGTAGAGAGGCGTGCTTGAGAAGCAGAGCTCTGGTAGAAGGGCCTCATCCTGTGCAATTCTGTATGTTTATGAGGGACTTGGAAGGAGGCGGGGAACACCAGTCAGGCTCTGCAACAGTGGAAACCTGGTCAAGAAATGGCCTTATTAAAGGGAGCCCGCTGGACCTTAGCTAGTATTTTCCAGAGGCTTTATGTGCTTGTATTGAACTAGGATCTTTCAAATGAGCTTCTTCTTAAGATACAGAAAGCGAAGGTGGAAATCAGGGCCATGTCTTTTTATTTATTTTATTTTATTTTATTTTTTTAAAAGATGACTGGTAAGGGGATCTTAACCCTTGACTTGGTGTTGTCAGCACCATGCTCAGCCAGTGAGCCAACCGGCCATCCCTATATGGGATCCGAACCCGTGGCCTTGGTGTTATCAGCACCGCACTCTCCCGAGTGAGCCACGGGCCGGCCCCAGGGCCATGTCTTTTTAAAAGAGGAAAAGGAGTCTAAAACAAGCAGAACAAATAGAAACTATCAAATAGGATAGGAGTTTTTTTACAGTACGATTTTATCAATTGTTAAATGTGAATGAACTGAGTGTTTTGGTGAAAAGACAAAATTGTCAGACTTAAAAAAATTCATACAGAACATAAGGATACAAAAAGGTTTAAAGTAGAAGGACAAAAAAGGATGCTTTATTTAAATACTAACCAAAAGAAAGCTGATATAGTCATACAGATATACATATATTGCAAGTATATAGATATTATAAACATTTTATCAATAAATTTGGGTTTAGATAAAATAGTCAAAATTCTAAAATAATCATAATATATTAATGCAATGGAATATCATACAGCAGTAAAGTGAAAATATATAGCTCCTCACAACAATATGGATTAATTTTAAATACATTGTATTGGGCCGGCCCTGTGGCGCACTCGGGAGAGTGCGGCGCTGGGAGTGCAGTGACGCTCCCGCCGCGGGTTCGGATCCTATATAGGAATGGACGGTGCGCTCACTGGCTAAGCGCGGTGCGGGAGACACCAAGCCAAGGGTTGCGATCCCCTTACCGGTCACGAAAAAGACACACAAAAAAAGTAAATAAAATAAATAAAATAAATACATTGTATTGAGGGCCGCCCGTGGCTCACTTGGGAGAGTGCGGTGGTGATAACACCAAGGCCACCGGTTTGGATCCCATATAGGGATGGCCGGTGAGCTCACTTGGGAGAGCGTGGTGCTGACAACACCAAGTCAAGGATTAAGATCCCCTTACCAGTCATCTTAAAAAAAAAAAACCAAAAACATTATATTGGAAACAAAGAGAAAGTCAAAAAATTAATGTATTGTTTGTGAACTGATACATTAGAGAAACATCATAATGAAAACCAAGGAAATGATTGTCCCAAAAGACGGGGTAGTGGTTACTCTTGAGGGCAGAGGGGCTGTGATTGGGGAAGAGCACACTGGATTCTGGGGTGCTGCTTATGTTCTGTTTTTTGGACCTGGATGGCAGTAACATACATGTTTGCTTTAAAAATATTGGTCCATCGACCTAAATGTTTGATTTACTTTCTGCGTAAATATTATATTTCACAATTTTAAAAAGATGAAGATAAAAGTCAATATAGGACTAAAAAAAGTTATGTGTGCATTCTTCATTTCACATATATAGTTCACTCATGCAAATATAATATGTTGCACATGCTAAGTAAAGCATTCTTCTCTAAGGTACGGGTTCATGCAGTCATGGAGGCTGATTTTGCCCTTTGCAAGCCGGAGACCCAGGATTTCAGAGGCCGGTTCTCACGACTCCTATCTCTTTGTCAAAGTTCTGATGCTTTTCTAATGTCCCACGCTCTTATTGGTCAACATCTCTCTGCCAATTTCTTATGTTTGGGACTTTACTACTGTTTGTGGGAAATGCTTTCTATTTCTGTAGCTGCTCAAAGAGCACTTATTTAAAAAAAAATTTTTGGCAGGAAAAAATAACTTCTTAATGGTGGTTTAGGTAAAGAAAATGCTTTTCTATTGGGTAAAAATGTGGTCACCATGATATCCTGGTGCCTCATTATCACCTCCCTCTTGGGCTTCCTATTTAACCTTTTCATTTCCACTATGCTGTAGGTTCGACCACAGCAAACTAAACTGACAATTTGGGGCCTGCTTTTACATGCAGGAGTCAGATATTAATCCGTTGAATTGGAAAAGGGTATCAGGTTAATCATGAGAACTGAGAGAAAATGTAAGTTGACCTTAAAAAGTTTTAAATTTTTGAATGTGTTGCATTGTTGAGATATGTTCTTTAAATCTGAATAGAAGTATGGTTCTCTATTTGGTGGCAAATGGTGGGGTTTTTTTCCAAAGTCAGGACATTAATCATGTAAATGGTAAATGGATTTAAAAAAATTACGCTGGGGTCAGGATTAAAGAAAGCGTTCTGGTGGACATAGAAACAAAGAAACATCAAGTGAAGGAAAGAAGGTCTAGTTCTAGTTTTAAATATGCTGTTTTGGGAAAGGGCTAGTTGTGGTGGCAACTTTTGATGCAGTCACTAGGCAGTCGGGTGGGGGCTGAAGGCATGTCATGGCAATTTTGAAGTAATTCTGGAATTTGCAGTGGAGTAATGTACTTGATTGGAAAAAGACTTCCTCCTGTTGTTTCTCACAGTACAAGGATATTCATTTAAGAATAATTGGCAATAGAATTATTATTTAATTTATAATGATTTTCTTACAGTGATTTCGGTTGACAAATCACTTGTATATTTAAAGAATACCTCTTCCTCATTCTGATGTTATGATAGCATGATTTGAAAGGACATTGATTGAATTTGGGGCAGTCCTCAAACACAACCAGATTCAAACGCTGAATAGATGGGTTGACAAATGAGGACACTGTCACCAGTTTAATCCCCATATGGGCCAATTAGTTTCACATAGAGAAGAACTCTGTTCCAAAGCCACAGATTGCACCATTAACCCCAGTCAGCCGTCTCCAAATGGAGTGTCATTGATCACAAGAGGCCCAGGTATGAGTGTCAATAGCTCAGCACAAACTCATCATCACCTCTGAGAACAGAGCTGTCATATTATCTCATATCCTTCGACTCATGTCAGAGAAAAATTACAGTAGGATGGAGAAGTCGAAGGGTCCTCCTTCCCCAACTTCCTGCACCCCACAATCTTATTATCAATGAAGAAAAATTACAGTTGCCTAGCTTCCATTTTTGTATGAAATCTGCATGCTTCAGAGGAAAAGTAATAGCATTATTGGCAAGCACATGGCTGGCAAGCAACCAATGATTTAAGGATTCATTTAATCAATACTTAATAGTACCTTAGAAATTCTAACATTGAACCAAACAGATGAGAAAAGCCAAATGTATATTTTCTAGCCCTTGAAACCTTATTCCTTCAGATTAGTTTGTGGAGTAAAAAAAATTAACATCAGAAGTGGAATTACATTAAATGTGTAATCTGTAAAAGGTTACACCCAAAGCACTCAACTGGCTAAAATGTAAATTTTTCTTAATCTTGTTTATTCTCAAAACAAACCAAATCTTACCTAAATTCTTTTTTTTTTTTTTTTTTTTTTTTTAAAGATGACTGCTAAGGGGATCTTAACCCTTGGCTTGGTGTTGTCAGCAAACCGGCCATCCCTATATAGGATCCGAACCCGTGGCCTTGGTGTTATCAGCACCGCACTCTACCGAGTGAGCCATGGGCCAGCCCCTTACCTAAATTCTTGCTAAAGAAAAATTTCAGAGACATCCTTAACTTGGGACTAAGCCTGAAGATTTTTCTCAAAGGGTAATTTGGGGTAAAATGAGGTCAAATTAAGTTAATTTTAGAATAGGCATTTATAGAAATAGTGTCAACCTTACCATCACTTCTAAAAACCTTTAATAGATGTTTTGATACGTGGATTCATTGAGCATAGTTATCTTTTGGAATAAAATGTAATTAAGTTAATGGTAAAACTGATTTTAGCAGAAAGCTGATGCAGTTCTGCTTTGTAACAGAGCCAGCGCTTGGTTCTTTATGAATCCTTTGAATTAAGCCACAAATTTGGAGAATAAAGGAACAATGATTTAAATCTAATGACTGGGAGCCTGGGCAGACTCTGTGATTCACTCCTGAGGTCGGAACTGCTTTGTATGTAGAACTAGAGTTCGTGGACATTTTCTAAATGTTAAAACTACTATATTTTTCTTTATCTTACACTCCACATCACGTTTATTTCTCAGATTCCTCGTCAGTCTTTACTTGTCATTTCTCACCCTAAAGAGTCACCCAAATGCCAAACAATGTTTCTTTCCCTTCCAAACGTACTGTAGGGGTAAAGCTTTCAGAGAATACAATAACTCCCCTCTCTCCCCCTGTGAATTGGGTCCTGACTGAGAATACATTATAAAAGATGGGCATTGGAAAAGAAAATGTCAGCATCACATCAGTAAAAGCTGGATTGGGGAATGTGCATGCAGGCCTGCAGACAAGTGAGTTGGCTTGTATTGTACTTCATCTAGAACCAGAAAACTACAAGCCATTCCCACAAGGCAGGCCTCTTTTGGTATGGGGAGAACATTTGGGCCAACTTGTCCTCCAAGCATCAAGCATGGGGGTCCCAGAATGGGCTAAGTGCCCAGTTACTACCCCCTCCGAATC